GATCTGCTTTCGACATGACATGCTTGTGAATGCGTCATAGAGTGAACTATGTTCGCTTTGACATACATGAAAAGGATGTGGGTGCGAGTGTGAATGTGCACCTTCATTTCACCGACACTCACACCCACACCCACAAGATCTTTATACCATCTAATACACAAAAAGCTGGAAAATTAGTTTGTGGAATTTTCATCCATTGGAAAATATAAATTGCATAAAGACTATAAAGAAGGCTATCAACTGATACTCAAAGTTTTCTTCTATAGGTTTAAATTCTAATGAGCGTGGTCGAATAAAAAAATAAATAAAATGACCATTGAAAATTTGTATGTGTATTTCTTATTTTCATGGTTTATCGGACTAAAGTGAAATATTAAATTATGAGTTGTATATCATTTAATTTTGATGATGTGATATTTGCCATTATTAAGTCTAAATTATACCGACTAAAAATTTTTATTTTCATCGTTAGTTTTGAATCTGAATCAAAGATTATGAGTTATACTCAGAACTATTTTCGAGAATCGATTTCTTTAATTTCAGTCAGAATCTTTTCCAAGAGAAAAAATAAATAATCAGCAGATAGAAATGCCATGTGCCTTATATGATAAATATACATAATTGTAGACCGAACGATTGTCCAAGCCTTTGTTTGTTTGAAAATCCATATTGACTTATTTTTTCCTACCAAGAAAAAATGTTTAAAAGAAAGATCTCGGCAACTGTCAACTTTTAAAATAAGCTGATGAAGTACCAAAAAAAATATATAAATTTAACGATTGGCCACTCTCTCAATCACTTTTTTACAAGAAAAAAAAAAGAAGTGTACAGAAAAAATCTCGCATAGATACATTGTTTTCATCAACGATAAATTCATATACGAGTGACACTGAGTTTTTTCTTTGTTTTTCTTTTTCACAACGAGAGAATACTAGATATATGAAGATACGATATGCAACTATATTGGATAGAAAATAACTATAACGCAACTATTTAGTTTGCAGTATACAAAAACAAACGTAGTGAAGGATGATCAAAAGTAATTAGAGTTCTTGGAAAATCTCAGATTCTGTTGTAGTCTACTTTTGCAGAGTTCAACATTTTATGATTTTTTTCATGTCGAATTTCGATGCATTTCAATTTCATTGAAATAAGTTATTATGAAGGAAAAGCTTTTAATCGTATAAATTTAAAAGGAATTTCTTGTTTTCAAATTAAAATTAATAAAATGGAGTGTCGGTAAGAGTATAACCGAAGAAAACAATCATAGGGACACTCTCGAAATACTATTGAGATATAATACCAAAGGGTGTGGGTGTGGGTGTGGGTGTGGGTAGTGTGGTTGTAAGTGTGAGTGTGGATGTGGGCGGGTGTGGGTGTGGATGTGAGTGGGCGTGGGTGTGGGTGTGGATGTGGGGTGTGGGTATGAGACGAACACTACCTTCCACACCCACGCCCACACCCGCACACCCACATCTACACCCAACCCACACCCACATCCACACCCACAGCCACAGCCACACTCCGCACTCTCCACATCCACACCCCACATCCCACACCCACACCCACACCTCACACCCACACCCACACCCATACCCACACCCACACCTCACACCCACACCCTGCGGTTTTCAACGTTTGATAACCGAGAGTCAGAAGCATATTTTCATAAGCAAAATCTTTTTCGAAAAGAAATTCAAACACCGGTTTCTTTGAGGATCTTTGGAAAGCTACGCTAGATTTATGAAAATTACCATAATAGTGTATTGATTTTTTTCTTACATGGGTAGATAGCTCCGAGGATCCCCTACAAAACTAGATCTAAACAAAAAGTTCTATCTGGCAAGGTTTAGATGAACCAGGCAATTTTCCCAAAACCCTAGTACTCCTCTTTCTCTAAATGTGGCACTATTAACGGGTGGACCATAAATAGCTGACCTCTTTGTATTTTTAAGATTTCTCTTCTGTTATTCCTGTGATTAAAGTATCTTTTGTTGTCAAAAGATGCCGTTTGGAATTCTCTACAAAGATATGTGTGATTGGACTTAAAAGTCACTTTAAATACAGGATGTTTCAAAAATCCGACCTGACAGTAAATTCGTATTACTTCTTTATTTGTCAAACCTAATCATCTAATTTTATATCAACTGGTAGTGATCAACGCGAAATTTTCATTGATATGGACCAGCTTAAGAAATAATGTTGAAAGATATCACTTTTGACTGAAATACAGAAATCAAGTTTTTCCGATTTTTGTCGAAAAATTGCATATTTTTAATTTTTTTCAGATTACATCAAATTTTGTGATATTGTCACTTTTGCAACTGTTTGGTGTCGTTTTATTAACATTATTTTTTGCGACATACTAGCTAATTCTACGACTGGACGTCTTTTTATGATGATATACTAGAAGAAAAAAAATCTGTAAACTGACACTAAACAGTTGCCAAGTAACAATATCACAAAATTTGATGTAATCCGAAAAAATTTAAAAATATGCAATTTTTCGATGAAAATCGGAAAAACTTGATTTCTGTATTTCAGTCAAAAGTGATATGTTTCAACATTATTTCTTAAGCCGGTCTATATTAATAAAAACTTCGCGTTGATGACTACTAGTTGATATGAAATTAGTTGATTAGTTTTGACAAATAAAGAAGTAACACGAATTTACTTTAAAGTCGGATTTTTGGAACACCCAGTATGTCTTACTCGATATGCATCAAGATGTTTTGAATAGTCGATCAGGTAGTTATGATGGCATATTCGCATGATTATACGATAAATTTCTACCACCTTCTCATTCATGCAAGTATTATTGATTGAAGTTTTGTGAAAGATAATAATAATTTCATTTGAAGATCCTTGGGCACTCAAAAAAGTTGACAATTGGTTTCTTCGGTGAGTTATGAAAATTTTTCTATGTTTATCTTTCATTTATTTTCTTCGTAAAAATAAATACAGTGATATAACAGAAGCATGTTCACATGATTTTCAATGTTTATGTGACAATGTTGGTGGTGCAGCCGAATCACTGAGCAACTTTTGGCGTTTGGTAGCTACCACTGTCAGTTTATATTCGAATTTATTAGGGTGAGCATCTTACGTAGACAAAAATGAAATAGATATAATAGAGAATTTCTTAATTCAATGAATTTCATATCTAAGACATCCAGAAGCTACACCGCTACATAGCTTCATACAAATGTAAAGAATTCCAATAATATTATTTAGAACTACTCGATCATTTCAAAGTCGGTCTTTTTTTCTCATTTGAGCACGTAAAATTACAGAATCAATTTTCAAAATTATCAGTTTTCTGTTTCCTTTATTGTATGAACCACTGCTCATGACAAAAGTCAATTTGAATTAATAAACATTACAAAAAGACATTTTCTTCTTTGATTCATGAATGATTAAAATGCATTCTACTATATTCGATTTTTTTTATTTGAAGAATATGCGACAAAGAATCGGAAATAAGAACAGGTAGTTTTTACTGAGACTAGTTCAAGTGGGGAAAAGTGAGACTTCGTACTTCACTTGTACTTCGCTGTACTTCACTCGTACTTCACTGATATTCCGTTAAAAATATGTTCCCTCGACTGAAGGGCGGATCATATGAAAAGAAATAGTTTGTTTGTTTGCTTGCTGGTCATCGGGTCAAAGGTAAAAAAAACATCAGTGGTGAAGTTCATTTAGGCGTAACTTCTAAAGTTTCACCAAAGGTAATCGAGGTCGGGAAATCCGAACCTTGTGTCTGGTTTTACATTCGGTCATCCCATTGGCGAGAAAGCTGACTAATCAGAAATGAGCTTTTTTTATTCTAAGCTTTTTGATGATTTTGATGGAATTTTACCATAAGTTATTGAGGGTCAGGATTCCGAATCTGAGGTCGAATTTTAAATCCGGCCCTCTCATTGCTTAGAAAGTCGACCAATCAGAAATGAGCTTTTTTATCTTAAGCTTTTTGGACCTTTTCATGGAATTTTACCATAGGTTATCGAGGGTCAGGATTTCGAATCTGAGATCGGATTTTATATCCAACCTTCCCATTGCCCAAGAAGCCGACCAATCGAAAATGAGCTTTTTTATTTTAAGCTTTTTGGGACTTTTGATGAAACTTTACTGTAGGTTATCGACGGCTAGGATTCCGGATCTGAGGCCGAATCTTACATGTTAAGAAGACTGACGAAAGTAAATCGGGATTGGGGAGTTCGAATCTGGAGTAGGTTTTTTTAAAATTTCGAAACAGATTTTTTTCGGTCAGAGATTGCGCTGTTTGATGAAATAACGAGTTTTTCATGAGGCTTAATCGAGGACAACCGGGATCGGGAAAGTTGAATTTGAAGTTAGTTCTGCAAAATTTTGACTTTGATTTTTTCGGTCACAGAAAGGGTTTTCCAAGAAAATAACGATGTATTAGAAAATTTGGCAAGCCTAAATCGACGCCAGGGCATCCAAATCTTTACTATATTGCTGGAAGTTTGCTGCTATAATTTTACAATCAGGGTAAGGTTTTTTGAAGAAAATAATGAGTTTTCGGTGTATTGAACATTGAGTGGTATGAAATAAAATTTGCTTGTGATATCGTAGTGATTGGAAGAGTAACGTATTGAGATGCGTTAGTGGGATTACAAGTGGGTGTGGGTGGGTGTGGGTGTGGGTTAAAAGAAGAACGACATGCATACGTACCCACACCCACACTCTTCATAAAAACCAATAGTTATTAAAACATCGGCTATAACAGCTACATCGTGTTTCACATTTTTAATCCCGCAAGGGATTGCGCTAACAGTTTTTTCTATAATAGGTCTTGGAGTATTATTAATTTACCAGCTGGTAATTATTCACTACTTTTTCGTGCTAACACTGAGAATCCTTTTCAATATTCGTTTGCTATCGATAATATTGATATTATTACTTCATGTGAATATTTACCTTCATCTACGTCATACAATTCTCTTCTCTCTTTCTCATGTAATTTTGATAATTTGACAATGTGTGATATGATTAATGATGCGAAGATTTCTACATTTAATTTTACGGTATTTACTGGTAATACAATACCTGATCAAGAACTTGGTCCAGTTCGAGATCATACAAGTAATTCAACATCTGGCGGTTTTCTTTATTGGAATCAATATTTGCCAGTAAACGCAAGTGATCAAAGTCGTGTGTATCTACCAAAAACAATTGAACAAAATAATGGAATGTGTATTCAATTTGCTTATTATGTGAAATCAAAAGTAGTTAATAAAAATACAACAATGATTCGTCTATCTAGTGATGAAAATCCTAACATAGGATTATGATATCAACTATTATATAATAGTCATGGATGGCAGACAGTTCTTTTACCTTTAAGCAACACTGCTAGTGCAATAATACTCTATTTTGATATTTATCAACTTGAAACGACATCAGCAGCTGTTGCTTTCGATGATATTATAATTGATCAATGTAGTTCTTTAGTGCCAACTACTACAAGTACATCGACACGTACTACGAGTATATTGACAACTATCACAAGTACATCAACAATTCCTACAATTACTAAAACTACATCAACTATATTAACATCTACATCGACTACCACATCTCAAAATAATGCTCATCAACTATTTTCTTTAAACGGATACAGCCTGATAATTCATCATTTTCTATTTTAAAGTATTCGACAATTCTTTTAGAAAATAAAAAATAATTTGTGTGCATATCAATTGGTTTCGATCTTGTATAGAGTTGATAAAAGTTACACATAATTAAAAAGAACAGAAGAACTGAACAAGAGTCATAAATATTCTCAAAAGGGCATAGTCAAACTCCATGTAAAAGTCTTGAAAATAGATGTCCTACTAAAAATAGCACGAATCTATCGTTCTCTCTCTAGTTCGATTAATGATCTTTTATTTTTGTTCTGATTCATGCAAATGTCCACGTGTTATATTTAGAGTTTATAGAAAAAGAAAGAATTTCGTTACATTCATGACCATGAAGTTGTAATTGTTTTCAAGAAAAAGAAGAAATACTAATATAAAAAGTCGTCTCTATAAGAAGGAAATTCATAATTAATTATGGAGAAGCATTAACATATGAAGTATAACTATATTAATTGACACCCCAGTCAGACAGGCAACGAAAAATAACGCGTATTT